GGGAGACTATGTACACCTGTCCAGGGACTGCAGATGAAAAATATCTTTCATCTATATACTTGAATAATTCTGGGCAATTTACAGAAATGTTTATTAATGCATATTGTCCCTGTCATAAAATTAAAAAAAATACCTAAAAAAATATAAAGTCACTTTGTCCCATACCCTGATGCTGCTAACATGTACAGATCGAGTACAGATGTATACTGTGCATATACGCAAACAATGGAAACACAAATGATAGGGATAGCATGAGCAATAACTACACAGGTAATTTTTCCCACTCTCTACTACTAGTTATAAAGTGCTTGGTAGAAGAGAAATCGAGTTCTGCAAGATAAATGTATGACTTAAAAGCAGAGGAGCAACCAAGAAAAAACAAAAACATTCAGGTTCAGCAGAACACCACAAATCACCAAAAAACAAAAAGTTGGAAATGCAGAAGTGCAGTAATGTATCCCCAAATGGATATTTATGGTAGTGCGCCTAAATCAAAAAGCAATTAAATAGTTCTCGAATAAACGTATAATTAGACCAAATGATAGGACAATATTAAACAACTAAACTTGGCCATAACAAGCAGTTATTTTTACTTACTTTGCCTGTGTACTCAGTGACCACAAAAGTCAACGAATGACTCAGAAGATTACAGAGACGGCAGCAGAAGTCTATTAGCGATGCTCTCTCGACCCTCAAAATAATTTATGCATTTGACTCCGCTCTGACCCTCTTAATGGCTTGCTTAAAAAAAACAATATAAAACAAATATTTACAGAGTTTTTTCTGAACAGAGCCACCGTTACGCGCCATGGCAACAATAACCGCGTGATAAAAGTGGCACTAATCCATCTTTAGAGCACACACTAAACGTGAGAGCAATTTTCGTGTTTATGGGGGTTTAGGACTAATCTACAGAGCTGCTCTATATTTGCTATCCTCGCCGTTTCTTTCAGAGCTCTAATGAAAGGCCCGCGGGTCAAACCTGTCCTTGCCACACACACAGACCCCCAAGGTGCGCCAAAATCCATGCTTTGAAATGAGAAAGTCTCTGCTACACATCTTTACAATGGAGGATTTACGGTCTCGTGTTTGTGCGGGCTACGGGGCAGAACTGGGAATAAGTTCAAAGGAAGTTCACAGTGGTTTGGGCACATGTTACTTTGATGGTCGTGACGTGTCGCTGTCGGCAAATGTAACAAGTATGACACCTGCTACAATAGCTCCATATACAGAATGTTGTGACACACGTCAGTTTATAGAAATAAAGTCAATAGATAGATTCTAGAGGCTTTTCAACAGGGTTCAACATGTCTATCTTGGTGGAGCTGAAGTTGGCTGGATGACACTGAACTTTTTTTTTTTTTTTTAAAGAGACCAGAAAGAGACTAGAGAGAGAGAGAGCAAATAGAGATCAGAGAAAGACCAGAGAGAGACCATAGAGAGACTAGAGAGAGTCCAGAGAGGTCAGAGAAAGAGAGAGACCATAGAGTAGTAAGTAAGTAAGTAAGCTTTATTTATATACCGCCTTTCACAGACCAGAGCCACAAAGCGGTTTACAATTGTTATTTTTTTGGGCACTTGTCCTCTCACTCCACACAGAGATGGGAGCGGGGTCGCCGAACAGGAAGCGCATTCCAGACCTATTGTACATATTTTTAGTGGTAGGGGAAACTGGAGTACCCGGAGGAAACCTACGCAGACACGGGGAGAACATGCAAACTCCACTCAGAAAGGCCCTGGTCTGGCCGGGATTCGAACACAGGACCTTCTTGCTGAGAGGCGAGAGTGCTATCCACTCAGCCACCGTGCCGCCAACTAGAGAGACCAGAGAGACTAGAGGGAGATCCAAAGATGAGACAGGGAGGATATGAGTAGGTAATATCAGGAATGGTTACTAACGGGTGTGTGATTAGATAAGTCAAATTGAATACAGCCTTATTATTAATGCTTACTAAGATTTGTCTGAGAGTCAGGCACTCTGGTTTATTGCGATCATTTACAGAACATCTTGAATCGTCTTTAACAATTACCGATAGTTATTTATGGAGTCAGGCCGGTGTTTCGCAGATGGCGTGGTATCGTGAGGGACCCTGTGATTCCCAGATTTACACTCTACCACTAACTCTTCATATTCTCTGGAAATCTGCCAAAATCCCCACATTGTGCCCGAGTTTGTGAACTTCTGAGCTGTAACTGTAACTGAAAACTTGTAATTTGTTTTGGTGAAATCTTACTCTGAAAAGGCGCGGCTCCTCAGTTCTGCAGTTTAGTCAACGAACCTGTTTTTATTAAACCGTTTTGGATCTGTCCTGCAGCTTGCAAAGAACCAAATGAAAGACAAGTAAAACCAGAATACAACGATTTTTTTCTTTGGATGCATTGAGAAATATCTAAACGTTTGCATTTGTGCTTTATCAAGTTAAGTTATTGTTTATTTATCGCCATAGGGACATTTGTTCTCTGCATTTCACTGTCACTAGGACCAAATATCAGGTGTCACTGCTCGGCTTGGGAAGGACCATTTCAATTAGAATATAGAGGAGACTGTAATAATCATCAAAATAATAACAAAGGCATAAACACTTTGCTTGTAATGAACCTGTATCATATATTGGTTTCACAATTTAAGAAAAAAATAGACTTTTGAACAATATTCCAGTTTTAACAGTTTCTCCAGCATGAGTTTAATTGCAAAAACTGATATATGTTTTTATTTTTATTTTATTGTGTCATTAATCTTCAAAATGGTTTGATTTTGTGGACTGCCTTCTCTGAGTCTAGAATCCCCCCTCGGTCCACGGCCTCCCCCAAGGTTTCTCAGTTTGGAGGGTCTAAGTACAGTACAGGGATGATCCAGTGTTTTTAATGACAGTTATGGACAATTATGTGCAATTATTAACATTTCTGGACAGTGGTCATCCCGCTCCCAATGACCCAACGGCTGTTTGTTATTAATTTGCTTCAACCAAACCCTTTTCAAACCATGCGCATGTTTTCGTCTCTGTGAATAATTGTTGGTTTATCTCATGCATGTTTGAAATAAATAAACTAATAAAAATATGTATATTATAGCATTTCCTATGTTTGAACTAATTGATTCTCCGATCTGCTGTTGGCAAATCTATTTCAAGTCCTCGGAGAAGACCCCAGTTGTGATCTATGGCCATACAAAAATAAATTGAATAGAATTTTTGGCAGTAAGATTGAAAAGCTTTGCTCAAGAATGTGTGAAACTGTACTTTTGTATTAAATAAGCAGCATTGTAAACCTCTCACACCATTTTCTAACAACATGTTTTTGCCAATTATTTCCTCGTATGATTTTCACATAGATCTAAAGTGAGTATCTCTTTGAGGCACCAGTTTAACTCACGTCGCCTGCGATAAAAGACGGAACAATCGGCTCATATATAATTGTCACTTTGAATCGAAGCCACAACAATGTCACAGTTTTGAGTTTGACCCGAGGCGACGAAAGCCTGAGATCAAAACAACAACAGCAGCAGCGGCAGCTTGTGGCGTAACTGAACTCAGGCTTTATTCACACGTTTGGCTTTGTGTGTAGGAGCTGCTGCTACTTTAGGACAGTTGGAATTAAATAACAACTTTGTACAATGCAATCATCATCAGATATATTATTGTGTTGCTTTTCATTGTACTGAGACAAGTGAATTCATGCTGTATTATAATTTCTATTAGCAGTTACAAAGCTATTATGGTCGTCATTCACTTTTGGCTGCAACAATATGGCATGTCTTCATTATGTTAACTGACTGCACTGTTCTAGTTAAATAAATGCTAGAACTATAGGTTGAAGTCTGGTGTAGCTGGTGAATATTTCTGTCCTCGGTCACATCTTTAGATCCGCTTTTTCAGAAAGAAAGACAGTGGCTCAGTTGGTAGAGCATTGGCCTTTGAGCCTGAAGGTCGTGGGTTCGAGCCCACCACGACACCTACTTCATGACTCCCACTGATGACTGCTGTTGTTGTGTCCTTGGGCAAGACACTTGAGCCCCCGCTGAAAGATCTCAGCTCCTGTGGACTCACGACCTACAGGAGGATCAGTGAGGGGCTGGTGCTCTGTGAACTGGGTGCAACTCTGACTGCCACCCCCCCGACCCAGAAATGGATTAATGGGAAGAAGATGGATGGATGGACATGAAAAAGAGAGAATATACTACTTCTAACATGGTGAGGCTGACGGATGGATTATTCATCATCCCCTCGCTCGAGCAGCGGCTCTCGTTCAAGCTCCTCCCTTGTGACTGAGCTTCTCACCATGGAGTGTAACAAATGTGTATATGGATGGATGGATGGATACTTTATTGCTTGAGGAGAAATGCAGGTGTCCAGCAGCAGAAACACATGCACTGATAAAAATGCATGTGAGGCTCAATCTGGTAGGTTACTTGCTGCAGCCAATCACAGCCTTCACCCTCAGCCAATCACACAGCCTACCTACAACCTACGCCAATTAAGCCAGATGGTTATAAGCAGAAACTTCCCAACATCTAACCCCTTTCCCAAGCCTCGCAAGGAGTTGTTCTGGAGGAGTCACTTTGGTCTACTCACACTTTGCAACCACCACCTCCTCCTCGACCTTCTAGCCACGCTCTCATCTCAACTTCAACCCTTATGCTACCTCCAGTACCTACTGTAGGTCCCGGGGGATTATAAGCGGCATACAAGGAATGATCTTCACCGACAAAGTGCTGGTGCCGGGACCTTTTTATTTTGTTTTATTTTTTTACTGTACATAATTATATCCTGCACAGACTATATTTTTAACCTTAACATGTTTGCACACTTCTGTCTTTTTGCACAATCTGAGGGATTCTATCGACGCCAAATGTGAGATGTACATTTCTTCATTGTCAGATCAAGGAATTTAATGAAATGGTATCAGTGTAGTCTCTCCAGATTGAAATACCCTAAAGTTCAAAAATCCTCCTGTTCTTCTGTTGAACGCCTCTCACGTGTCTCCTCTCGTGTGTTTTGCAGGAGGGAGGGGGAGGGGGTGCGTGTGTTCTGGGACAGACAGAGGGAGCCCTCGTTCACATCCAGGTGGAACCCCTTCGCCCTGGACCTGCCCTTCATCACCTTCACGCTGCACCCCATCAATGCCCTGTGCTCCACCTACAACTCTCTCTGCAACGTGAGTTTCACATCCATTCACAAACACTCATCGGAATCGAAACGAATATCAGTAACAATAAAAACCAAGACGATAACATTATTTATTTTAGTGACAAAGTAGGTAAAAAGGAGTAACAGAATAGGATTGAACATTACAAAAACCAAAGTAAATGAATATGTACTGACTTTGGTGCGATATGTTTTATTGTCTGTTCCAGTCCTTAAATGTCTTGTTATGTCCATGGACCAAAGTGTCCGCAATAAAGCCTAATACTAATAATTAATCATCTATGAATTGAAGTAAGCAGAATGTAGAACTAATAAAATTACGGCTTATAATGACCAAAACTCAACCTATCACAAAAACACTGACAGATATATTATAGAAATGGTCTGAACTAAACACAACCGAGTCACAAAATCCAGAACCAAAGTTAAAGTAAAGTTAAAGTTAAAGTTAAAATCTGCACACTGACTGCAGATTGGCAGGTTATACAGGCCTACAGGTGATTGGAGGAGCACCTTGGCCTCTGCCCAACCAGCAGCCATGGCGTCGTGTCCAATCAGCTTCCAGCGGCATCACACATGACATCACACACTATCACACAACATACTACAGAAATGTCCCTTTTTTTAGACCATGAACCTGACCTACCATGTACTCTTGTCTAGAAATGTCTAAAAATCACAAAGATGCCATGTCATTATTAGATTTTAAGAAGAGATCATGGATATTCTGAATGTTTCAAGACCTCTCGCCTCAATGGTCATACGCATTCTTCCTTTGAACAAATTGAATCTTTGGCAAACCATCATGCTATTGCAATAGTTCCAGTTCTTGGCCTACGGTAGTTTGTGGGAGTGATTGCTCTCATCTCACCACATCAAATCTGAACTGGAGTCATTGCACAGTCCTGGAATAATGCGCTCCGAGGCTTTCACCTGTGGGAATACTTAAGATTCAACGTTTGAGTCAAGACAAAGGCATAAGGTCTTTCTTTAAAGCTGGGTCCAAGTTCATTAGTTTTTCTGGAAAGAAAGCAGTTGGAAGATGATGAAGAAGAGCAGAGGGAATATTTATGGACCAGTGGTTCCCATACGAGATAATGTCCTAGTGTTTATTATTGGTATACCTCTGACAAATACATACAGTACATGGTTCTTAGCAGCATCAACGTCCCCCCAAAAAACGTTACTGTGGACTTGTTCTTTGTATTGTAGATGTAGAGGATTTTAAATCAGAGATTAGCAGAAAGAAGCAAATCTAACACAACTTTAATGCGATTACTGCCTGCTGTGTATCCAGAGACTCTGAACCAGGACTGGCCTCTGGACTAAACCCGGACTCAATCAGCGGGGCTTCCCATGCATATTCTATGTTGCTGCAGTAGAAAGGATTGGCACTACAGCTTTATGTTTGCCCTGACATCAGGACCCAGGGCTGTTGCAGTTAGCTTTCTCTTTCTCTTAACCCTGGTGGCTCCAGGCCCCGGGGGTCGCGAGCTCATGATTTCTATTAAACTCCCTTCTGCATTCGACATGCAGGATTCCTGCCGGGGTCTAATCACCAAAGCTTATCAATAAATAAGTTAGTTCTCAATCAAAGTATGCTGCTGTTTATTTATGCATCTTGACAATAATATATATATACAGTATATTCTAATGCAATCTTCGTCTCGAGTCTTTCCAAATTGAAGTGAGACGTTGTCTTTTCAGAGAATAATCATGTCTTGGCTGCAATGAGGTACTGTGTCCTGAATGTTCAAGGACAACGTTTTTGCTCTTCAGTTCATGTGCAGACATAATAAATGTGATGTTTGAGTTGAGCAGTCTTATTTCCCAAAATTTTTTGGAATACCTTTGAATAATATGAGGGAGAATATATTGCAGAATTGAATCACAATACTTTCTCTATCGCAGTATTTTAATTGCAATAATATTGAATTGTGCCACAAATATCGCATTACTATTGAATCGTCATATTTTGCCAATTCCCACTCGTACTCAGAAAGCGCTGGAGAGAGCCCTGCACTTCCACTATGGTTCCAGAATCATTTTATATACGTTCTGTTTTGGTCAAAGTCCTTCCTCACTAATGATATGACTGGAGGATATGATGTAAGTGAAAGACACTTGGTGATTAATGAAAGCAGTTTGGTGATTAATGAAAGCATTTACCGTCCGTCATTCGTCCTTTCATTCCTCATTTTGCAATTCACCGTTAAATCAACGTTCTGCAACTGTTTCCTTACGGGTTATAAAAACAGGATTGTGTGGAGGTGTCACGATGTGGGAGAGTGACTCACACCAATGACTGGAAATGATGGGATTCCTGAGAAAATCAGTGCTTTCAAAATCTACTAAAACAACTACAAACAACTGCTGATGATCTCTGGTTTCTGTCTGATGCAGCAGATAAGAGACTCGCTCCACTGCACTGGGGACAATGCTGCTCCAGGTTTCTCTCTGCTCTGTGGGTCTGAACACACACAAGTGCCTCAGCAACACACACAGTGTGTTCAGTGTGTAGTACAACAACTTGCTTTACACTTTTTCACGTGTTAGCACATCCTGAGTGATCCTATTTATGGAAAATGTGACATGTACATTTCTGAGTGAGGTTTCATTGTGAGATCAATAAAATCTTATCTTATCTTAACTGTAGCACACACCAATCCAACAACAGTAAGACACTCAAGTCCAACAACAGCAACACACACCACACACAAGACCAATAGCAGTAACACAAACTATGCTAAACAAAATAAATTGAATTAAATTGAGGATGGATCTTGTGGCATATTTTCAAACACACACATGGTCCAGATGCACACAGTACGTGCACTAAACCCCAAAAACAACCAGTTTTCTTTATTCCATACTGTACCTAATAATCCGCTCCCCTCTCTCAATGTGGACCTCCCCGAGGTTTCTCACATTTTACCACTGGGTTCTAGAGTTGTTCCTTGCCGGTGCAGGAGGGTCTGTTAGACTGTTAGAGGGTCTAACAAAAAGGACTGTGGTGATGATCCAGGACACTCAACATTCAACAACATTTATGGACATTGGTCATCTTGGTGCTATGTGTACTGGGTGGCATCACTGATTGCCATCCCCCTGACCCAGAAATGGATTAAGGGGTAGAAATGGATGGATGGTCATCTTCGCCTTATCAGAATCAGAATTATTTTTATTGCCATGTAAGAAACAGGAAGTCACAGATTAGGAAATTGCTTTGGCTCTCGATGAAAACAAGTCAAAAGCAGAGAAGTAGACAATAGAGTAAGGCATAGTAAGAACACATACATTTCTAAAATATGAAATTTAGATTATTACAATTATTACTATACACAATATACAGGTGCACTCTGCACATTCAATAGACACTAGGCAGTGCAGAAAGGGGGCGTTATAAAGGGCAGTAAAGTGATGTTATGGACCTATGGATCCGTGTTTTTTTTTTATCCTGTGTTTGATTCTCTGATCTGTGTTGGCAAAGTCAACGGTTTTGTTGAGTCCTCCGAGATAACTACTGTTGTGATTTAGGAGTATATAAGCATACATTGAATTGGTTTTCAAATGTTTGTCAGAGACCCCGCCCTGACCTCTCTCTCTGTCCCGTCTCAGGTCATGGCGTTCCGGGACGTGCTGCTGGGCGGGGCGCAGAAGGCCAACGCAGAAAAGCCGATCCCGGGGCGAGCTAATGGCGTCCTGCTGCTGCACCAGCCGCTGCTCATCGACGTGTACCTGGGACCCATGGCCAGCTTCGGCAACGGGAACAAGCTGGGCTACTCCATGGCCCGCGGAAACCTGGGCTTCTGAACTATGAGCGCTTCTGTTTGTACATTTATATTTTCCAGCATCTGTTTTTATATGAAAGAATTGTTTGAATGTTTATCACGTTTATATTTCTACACAGGAGAAACTCTTGAGAATTAGAATATCGTTCAAAAGTCCATTTACTTCTGCAACTTACAAGAATATGACACTTATTTCAAGCAAAGTGAGATGAATCAAGCCTGTATTTGTTACAATGTTGATAATTGGATTACAGCTTGTAAAGGCAAGGCAAGGGAGGTTTATTTGTATAGCACAGTGAATACACAAGTAAAACAAGAAGAGAACCATCATAATCATAAATACTCACAGTGCATTACTGTAAAAAGAGAGAAGGTACAATCCTTCAGCTGTATGCACAGCTAAACAGAAGTGTTTTTAACCTTGATTTGAACATTGTCAAAGACCAGAAAGAGAACCTTTTTTTTTTTTTTTTGAATAAAAAGCAATAAACACATTCATTTTCAGAAAAATCAAATAATAGTGAAAAGTCATGTCAAAATACCTTCATAATGTATACAAAAAAAATCCTATTATTCTTATTGGGCCCCTGACCAAAATGAGTTTGACACCCCTGCTATAGAATATCTTGGTTTTACATTATAAATAGAATTACAGAAATGAATGAGTGACATTTGCAGAGTGTGTGCTTATGTCTGTACAATAGCTTACTTACAATTACAGTTACAAAGTTTGAGTAAAAAGGGAAAATATAAATGAATAAAAAAATTATCAGACCACGATTTTTTCCCTCTCCTTTTAATTTGTATGATGGGATTACAGTTATTTGAATTGTAATTGTAATGTTGTGTATTTTCATGTCTGCAATTGAAATAAATAAATAGATATAAGTCTGTTCACGGTTCTCCAACCTGTGGCTCAGAACCAGGCTCAGGACTAGGACCAGGCTCAGGACAAGGCTCAAGACCAGGCTCAGGACCAGGACCAGGCTCAGGACAAGGCTCAAGACCAGGCTCAAGACCAGGCTCAAGACCAGGCTCAGGACCAGGCTCAGGACCAGGCTCAGGACCAGGCTCAGGACCAGGCTCAGGACCAGGCTCAGGACAAGGCTCAGGACCAGGCTCAGAACCAGGCTCAGGACAAGGCTCAAGATAAGGCTCAAGATCAGGCACAGGACCAGGCTCAGGACCAGGCTCAGGACAAGGTTCAGGACCAGGCTCAGGACGAGGCTCAAGACCAGGCACAGGACCAGGCTCACGACCAGGCTCACGACCAGGCTCAGGACCAGGCTCAGGACCAGGCTCAGGACAAGGCTCAGGACCAGGCTCAGGACGAGGCTCAAGACCAGGCACAGGACCAGGCGCACGGCCAGGCTCAGGACCAGAATCAGGACCAAGTTCAATACCAGGCTCAGTATCAAGATCAGGCTCAGGGCCAGACTCAGGCTCAGGACCAGGCTCAGAACCAGGACAAGGCTCAGGACCAGGACCACTGGCTCACACACCCTCCTCCCCAAAGCATTCACAATAGAAACATTTCTCATTTATTCAAGATCATTTTGCTTGTCCTTTTGGCAAATCTTGTTGTACTGAAAGGCGTCAAAATGTGCACTTTTGGACTTATCATTCATCACTTTTTGCTGTGCAGTAGTTTCTCCCCACCGTGTATGGACTGAAAGAATAACGACACGTAAAGCGTTTTTGAGGATCCTAAAAAGCGCTATATACATAAAAACAATTTTCATTCATTATTATTATTATGATTATTATGCATTCCATTTCTCCACATTCTGCCAAAGCGTGTGAGGAGAAGCGCGACAAAAGAACAATGCCCCAGATGCCTCTTAATGGTTGAATGTGCTCCTCTCTCCTCGAGCATTCACCGTGAGCTGCGTTTCCACACGGCTCTTGAGGAGATGACAGATCTGTGTTTTAGCTCCCCGGGGATAATAATGTAACTCAAGTCTTTCACAATCACTCCTCACCCCTCCCTTCCACTCCCTTACCTCTCGCCCTCCCCCCTTCCCTGGGTGTGCTCTCTCTCTTTCTCGCTCTCTTCTTTCTGTCCTCTCTCTCTTTCTCTCTCTTTAGTTGCTGTCTGTGCTTCTTACTTCTATTTCTCCTCTTTCCCCATCTCTCTTCTCTCTCTCCTCTTTCTGTCCTCTCTATCTTCTCTCTCTCTTTAGTCGCTGTCTGTGCTTCTTACTTCAATCTCTCTCCTCTCTCCCCATTTCTCTCTCTCCTCTCTTTCTATCCTCTCTCGTTTTCTTTCTCCTCTCTATCCCCTCTCTCTCTTTTCTTTCTCTTTAGTCGCTGTCTGTGCTTCTTACTTCTCTCTCTCTCTCCTCTCTCTCTCTTTAGTCGCTGTCTGTGCTTTTTACTTCTCTCTCTCTCTCCTCTCTCTCTCTTTAGTGGCTGTCTGTGCTTCCTACTTCTATATCTCTCCTCTCTCCCCATTTCTATCTCTCTCTCGCTCTCTCTTCTCTACTCTTTCTATCCTCTCTTTTTAGTTGCTGTCTATGCTTCTCACTTCTATATCTCTCCTCTCCTCCATTTCTCTCTCTTCTCTCCTCTTTCTGTCTCTCTTTAGTAGCTGTCTGCACTTCTTACTTCTATCTCTCTCTTCTCTACTCTTTCTGTCCTCTCTCTCTCCTCTTTTCTCTTTAGTCACTCTCTGTACATCCTACTTCTATATCTCTCCTCTCTCCCCATTTCTATCTCTCTCTCTCTCTTCTCTCCTCTTTCTGTCTCTCTTTAGTAGCTGTCTGCACTTCTTACTTCTATCTCTCTCTTCTCTACTCTTTCTGTCCTCTCTCTCTCCTCTCTTTTCTCTTTAGTCACTCTCTGTACATCCTACTTCTATATCTCTCCTCTCTCCCCATTTCTATCTCTCTTTCTCTCTTCTCTCCTCTTTCTATCCTCTCTCTTTTTCTCTCTCCTCTCTATCCTCTCTCTCTCTCTTTTCTTTCTCTTTAGTCACTCTCTGTACATCCTACTTCTCTCTCCTCTCTTCTCTCCTCTTTCTCTCTCCTCTCTCTCTTTAGTCGCTGTGCTTCTTACTTCTACCTCTCTTCTCTACTCTTTCTGTCCTCTCTCTCCTCTCTTTTCTCTTTAGTCACTCTCTGTACATCCTACTTCTATATCTCTCCTCTCTCCCCATTTCTCTCTCTCGCTCTCTTCTCTCCTCTTTCTCTCTCCTCTCTTTCCTCTCTCTTTATAGTTGCTGTCTATGCTTCTCACTTCTATCTCTCTCCTCTCCCCCCCATTTATCTTTCTCCTCTCCTCTGTCCTCTTTCTGTCTCTCTTTAGTCGCTGTCTGTGCTTCTTTCTTCTCTCTCTCTCTCTCTCTCTCTCTCCCCCAGCCTCTCAAAGCTTCACCAGAGCTCCAGACCACATTTGTCAGATAGATCAGTTTGACTATTTTTACAGTGCGTACAGCAGTGGAATTTCCGCGGTTGATTTGTGCGTTTGCTGTGTGTGTCGAAGTTGACGAGTTTGTCAGCGGAGCACGCCACAAACAAGGCGTCCGGGGTTGGATGTTCCTCTTTATTTTTAGGGCCTGAATTTAGAGAATTATTTTCCCACTTGGACACGTTCGACAAGTCATAGATTACAGAGCAGTGTGGTTGGGAGTGGGCTGGGGGATCGAGTGACCGCAGGGAAGGGTCAAGAGGTAGAGTCCTTTTACCAGGTTTCCAATCATCTTAATTATGTACCCTTACTTGTATAGCACAGTTAATACACAAGGCAACTCAAAGGGCTTAGTAAAACAAGACATTTGGGGAAAATCGTCCTTACAGAGACGGGAACTTTTCTCACCAGAGCAACCCGGAAGTTTATACTTAGTTACTTTAGAATTGCCCATAATTCTTTGCGGTGCACACCAAAACGTCTGGAAAATGCATTTAAGTGTAAGTTTTGAAATATAAATGCTATATGTGTAAATAAATGTCGCTATGTTACTTGGATGGAAGCATAAATGACTAATTGAAGTATTACGGACATTCTATGCAAACAATTTAATACTTTTTTAAATCCAAGCTTTCATATAACATTCAATTTAAACTTTACACGTTAGTTACCCACATTTAACTTAAAATTATACAGCTTTCTAAAATTACGATCAACCAATATACATGTATTTTAACATGTGTGGAGCAACTCATTTTGTTTCCCACAGGGTCAGACAAAATTACTTTTTTATAAAGTTTAGGTCTGAAAATGACCATCTCTTGATGAGTCGATGACGTAACCTGCACACAGTGTGCACTGTCCCAATTCCGTCTTTTTTGCACGCTTGTAACCTACGTACTCAAACCCTTGCGTGCACTTCAAAAAAATGCACACTTTGTAGAGGAGTTAGGGTGCAGTGTGGGTATTGGGATTGGGCCATTGTTTGTATAGTCATTCATTACGTCACACATAGAAAGGCATACGTGATCACTTGTATTGTATTGTATCTAATTCTCATATAATCATAAACAATAAATAATCACATTAGCTTAAAAAGAGAAAATAAAATCCTTCAGTTTCACGCACAGCTAAACAGAATGCTTTTTAACCTGGATTTTAATATTGTCATTCGATCTGGTGGGACTAAAACAGACACAGAAATGTTTATAGATATTTTTATTTATTGGCGCATTGACCCCGGCAGCTTGACACTCGCTGAAGGGAGATCATTGCTGAGGAAGATGATCTCTGCTCCCGCCCGAGGCCAAGCCCTGGTGATGGCATGAGGGAGTGGATTGATCAGGGAGCGAGGTGAGCGGGAGGCGGTGCAGGAGCCAGAGGAGGAGCTGGGGGGAAGCGGTGGGTAGCAAGAGTTTCAAGAAATGCTGGTTAGTAGGAAGTGGCTGCTTTTAAACTGCCCGCTTCACTGGAATAGGATTGCAGGGGCCAGGCCCGTCGCAAGGGGGGTGCGAGGCCCTGTGCGAACTCGAAACGCGAGGCCCTGCCCTGACACTTTTTTCCCAGATCTGAGGAAAGTTTTTCCTGTTATAATCTTTGACATGAATTCAGCAC